TAAACTTTATAATTAATTAAGGTTCGATTCTATTATTACTTTTTTCGAGCAAGTAAAAAGCACCTACATAAATGCTAAACGTCACTTTCAGTTGTATTCTAATCGGTATGATTTTACCGGTCGATAATAAATTGTCGCGAAAATAATTTTATTTAATTATTTGTTTTTAATATATGAATATTATATATCGATATTTATTTAATTATAGCAGTCATTAAAATTTACTTTAAAATAAAGCACTTGCAAGTACAAAAAGTCTTTAAATATAAAGGATATTTAATAAAGAATAATGTACAGTACCTCGACGAACACAACATTGTTTTTATGACAAGAATAGCTCATTCAAATTTTTTTTTTTAATTACATGCCAACTATTACTCTTGTATCTTTATTAGTGATGCAGTGGAAGCTTTTACGCCTTATACTGTAACTAGTTACGACATAAGCTTTAACTATTTACGACTTAAGCTGTAATTTCTTGAGGACGATTCTATTGCATTATGATTAGATAAAATGAATTAAAAATTAGTATCGAATTAGTTACTTGTTAATTAGATAGATTGACATATATTCTATAAATAATACTCGAAAAATCATTGATTATATTGATTATATTGAATATAATAGCAATTTATATATATGTAACATAATATTTAATAAATACAATAATTAAATATAACATAATATTTAATAAATAGCAATAATTAAATATAACATAGTCATTATTTCTCTCTCTCTCGTATTATGTTAACTGGTAAATTTATTTATGTAATTATAATTAATACATTTACGAATTATTTATTAATTTAATTATAATTAATACATTTATTACATTTACGAATTATTTTATTAATACCATTGATCTATTTCAATATTAGAATTATGGTGATTTGTCAACAGCAGCTTCGAATCCTTGAGTGGTTGGTTTGGGGGTGACTTTGTGAGAAGTAATAATAGATTTTTTTTTAGTGAGGTTTGATCCAAGGGGAGTAGCAGTTACTGTCGGTTTAGTTGGCATTGATGATGTCGTCTGATAAATTGGAATATCACCA